GCCCTGCCTCATGCTCTGTTTGTGCCTCTTCTTTGAACACTGAAGCCCGCATCTCAATGCCCCCAGCCCCACACTCCACGTGGGCACATGTTGCAAGCCCATCACCCCAGCTCCTCTGCCTGCCATCCCCCACCAAAGCCCAGGGCACAGCCTGCAGGTTTTGCCGTGTTTCTCTGGGGACTCGGGGAAAAGGAAACGGGCTGCTGTGGCTCTCCACCGGGGTTGGCAGTATGTTGAAAATTTGGAGGGAAAGCAAGCCCTGTCCTCCTGGCAGAGGCAGAGGTCTTCTGCCCTAGAATGGTCCCACAAGGGAGGATCCCCAGCCCCAGGAGCAGGGTCTCCACAGGCCAGACCTCAGGCTAGAGCCAGCCGGGGTCAGTGTGGTCTCACATGCTGCCCTCGGGTTGGGAGACAGAGAAAGCCCCAAGAAGCACAGCTTCCTGGGCTGCACAGAGTGGCACTGGGGGCTGTGGAGTCCATGGCTGGTAGGAAGGAACAGATCCCCTGGCTTTGGGGGAGCCTATGCTGGCTAGGGGATTGTGGGTGCTGGGTAGGGACTGGCTGGCCCTCAGGATCCCTGGCAGGATAGGTAGGGAGGTCAGCTCACCATGGTGAAGTTTTCAGGCCCACAAGGTTCGCCACGGAAGCGACAGTCCAGCAGCATGTCGTCCAGGGAGTGCCCAGCACGGTCATAGAGTTGTGCCATGTCGAAGGTGGGACTGGGCATGAAGCCGGGTGGGGCAGGGGGCCGGCCCAGGGCACGCAGGAAGGTGGAGTGCTCTGCGGGGTCCAGGCCCAGCAGCGCGGCCCCGGCCCAGTGGAGGTCATTGGGTGTGAGGCGCGAGCGGCGCAGTGCATTGATGTTGCACAAGGTGACAGCTGGGAAGACAAGTTGGTGGCTTTCTCGCTCGTCCAGGGCAGTCTGGTGGTGGTACTCCCTGTAGTAGCGCACCCTCCCAGCCACCTGGTAGAGGAAGGTGACCACTGACAGGACCACGGCCGCTGCCCACATCCCCCGGCGCAGACTCAGGCTGCCTGGCCCGAAGATGTGGCCCACCCCATGCATCGAGCAGTTGCTGGCGAACACGCGGATGTCCGAGGCCGGCCGCCGGGCCTCCTCCGGGCCTGAGGTGGGCTTCATGGCCAAAACTCAGGAGGGGGACTAGCTAGAGAGGCTTGGACGGAGTGAGAGAGGGTCAGTCAGGGGGCTGAGAGGGCTGAGATAGGATTCAGGGGGCCAGGCGAGGAGAGGGTGGGAGAGAGCCAAGGCTGGGAGGCAGGGAGGCACTAGCCTGGCAGTGTTGGAGGAGATGATCTGGCCCGTCGGTCCCGCTCAGCCTTCCCGAGGAACACGCAGTGGGTCCACTGGGCTAGGCACTGGGCTGGGGACTCGGCAGCAGACCAGGTGGGATGCAGCTGACCGTGGCAGGCAGGGGCTGCGGAGGGAGCCGTGCTGAGGCGGTGCTGAGCCGGCGCTGCCGCAGAGGATTGGGTTTCAGCAGTGAGGGGGGAAAGGGGGCTGGCAGAGCAGTCTGGTGGGTAGGGGAGGTCCCTGGGGCCCCAGGCTGAGCCATTAGTACAGCCTGGAGGGGGGCATGGCTGTCCAAGATGAGAGGCGCCAGGAGGAAACCGCAGTGATCCTGGGGAGAGCGTGAGGAAAGCCCAGAGGTAAACTGGGCCTGGAGGTGCCTTGCGGCCCCCTAGGTTCCCAGCTGCAGCCCCTGTATACCAGCCCTGAGGGTTAGTCGTTGACCCCTGCCTAGCTCCTCTCTCCTTTCGCCTCTCCGGCCTTCCCTCTAGCTTCACCTACGATTATCTGTTCCTTCACAAAGACCAGAGCTGGCTCTTGACCAAGCTGGGAAGTGGTTGGAACATTGGCATCGGCAGATCTCTTCTATGCCCCCAGCATCTCAGCCTACACTGCATGCCCAGGGCCCTCTTCAGGTCCCACTTCCAGGGTCCGTCTGTCTCCTAAGTGTCCCTCTCCCCCTAGGGAGTCAGAGCCTACCTCCCCACACTCAGGCCCTCCCATTGAGGATGTTGGCCTCTACCACAATGGTTGTGGGCCCACCTGCCACCCCAGGTAGAAAGAACATGGCGCCCCACCTGCCACCCTCCAGGGTACCACACGAGTACTCCACCTGTCATCCTCCCGGGTACATGAGTGCCCCATCTGCCATCTCAGACACAACATGGGTTACCTGTGATTTCCCATCTTACAATGCTATAACCAGGACCTGGAAAAGCTTCATTTTTCCAAGTGGCTGCGTACCACCTGTTATGTGCTTATACCATCATTCATTCAATGACTCCCCCACTGAGGAGCACTGGGGGTTTCCAGTTTTCCCATTACAAACAATGTTGCCATATCAACACAGAGGTGAACTCCCAGGAGGGCTGCTGGGCCAAAAGACCACTGGGTTGGTCATCTGATAGATGACAGTTTCCCCCACAGGAGTCATGCCATTTTGCACTCCCACCAGTAATGTGGGAGCAGGTCTGCTTCGCATGGGGCTTTTCTGGAGCTGTCAAGCCCTGAGCTTGCATGGTGGGAGACAGTGAGCCTGGAGAGGGCAGGGCCGGCGCATCTGACCTAAGACGCTTACAGTGATCCAGGGGAGAAGGTGATGGGTTGGAGGCGGGGCAGGCTCCCAGAGGCTGGGGAGGGACCTCCAGAAGGCAGTTACTTTTGTGAGGTAGTGCCAGCTGACCTGCAGTGGGATGAGGACGTTGTGCGGACCCATGGCCCTGGGGATGAGGTGCAGTTCTGGGAGGAAGCCCTGACCTGCAGAGAACCAGGCAGTCCTCATCGGTGTCACACTGCATTTGGCTAAATGGTTGTCTGCCCCCATGTATCTGAGAGTTAGAGGACATTCCCTGTAGGCCTTTGGGAAAGCTGGCTCACTAATTTATTACTGAAATTTATTTCTCTTCTATCTTTGCCCAAAAAAGTACCTGAGGCCGCCAGGCTGACTTTGGTGGGCTTTTTTGACCATGAGTGGTAGAAACATGGTTCTACCAACCAAATGTGTGCACACACCATGCTGCGGCTGCTGGGCCACCTGTCTGTCCTGCCAACAGGACACAAGCTTCACGGGGGCAGGGGCTGTCCTCATTCCCCATAGTGGGCTCAGTGGCACATGGCAGGTGTTTCATTAATAAACACTCTGGAAGGACTGAGTACCATGGTTACAGCACAGCACTGCACTGTGCTTTGCAAGTATTTTACTGAAGATTATCCCACATACACTCTCAAAACAGGCATTCCTCATCAAGCACTGCTAGGCTCCGGCTCTCCACTGTGGAGCCAAGGCTGAGGCGAGGTTAGGCAGATGGCATGGCTCTTGCAATCTAGCTCTTCCAGCTGGACTAGCTGTGGGGTTTAACTGCTCCTTTAGTGGGCTGGTGGAGGGCTGGATTTGAAGAAGCTGCCCAGATGTAAGGAGAGCCTCAGAATCTGGTGTCAGAGGCTTCTTGGGCAACCTGAGGCTGGTGACTGAGGGGGTGAAGCAGGCCTTGGCTGGCTGGCTGCCTGGTGCGGGAGGGGTCAGGCCAACAAGCAGGGCCCCCAGGCAGGGCTCACGGACTTGCCAGGAAGCTGAGGCCTGCTCCGGGCTGCCCTAGGGAGGGGTTTAGCTGCGAAGCAGCCAGGAGCCAGCCCCAGGCTCTGCTTCTGGGCCTCCAGCCTCTGATCTGTCAGGAAGTGGGATATCAAATCAGGGTGGATGTGGGCCTGGGGTTTTTGGATGGCTTGTCCCCACAGTAGCACCTAGTTCTAAACCATACACCCACAAGAGCCTGTGGGTCCCACTCTGGCTCCTGCACACAAACTTGAGCCACTTGCTGCCTCTTCCAGGCTGGCCTCCCCAGCACCGGCTGCTCCATCAGCAAACTGCCACCACCCCTGAAAGAGGGCACTGACTGCCTTTCTTTGCACAGATAAATCCAGAATGCCTGGCTGACTGTGAAGGTACAGGGCAGGTACCCCCTCTTCCCCTGCTCAGGGGAGCAGGGTCCCGTATAGTCCCACAGCCTTGATGTGGCTGGAGGGGAAAAGGATCCCAGCAGGAAGTGACGGCGGTGGGGAGGGCCAGTGCATCCGCAGCAGGGCAGGGGCATGAGGTCCTGGGGCACCAGTTCAGCTAAGGCCCTACCTGTGTGCTTTTCCAGGCCTCTCTGAAGCCAGGTGGAGCCTAGCCCTCATCCACAGACTCAGGGCCACAGGCGCCTGTCACTCAGGCTGTCTGCCTTCCCCTTTTAAGGTGCGCCTCCCAGACCTTGCTGTGGAGACTGGCCTGTCCACAGCCGTACTCTCCTGGACCAATTCTGTACTGGATTCTGCAGTAGCTGCTCCATTGAGCTCTGTACTTGTCAGCACTGTGGGCAGGAAGCCGAGAGCTCCAGGTGGGCAGCAGCCCATCCTATCTCCTTCAGAGCTGGGTGTCCTTGGTGTAGAAGGAGGCGGGTCCACCATCTCAGTGGGTCAAAGACTCCAGTCACACAGGGCAGGGCCAGCGGAAGACAGCCAGGCAGGCTGGTGCTTACTCCCTCCTATCCTGACCCAAGAGTTGGGCCCGGTTAGGCCTGTGTCCATCAGGGGTAGGAAGGGGAGGCGAAATCTAGACATCAGGACTATATTCCCCGTTCAGGGAGAAGGGAGGGAGGTTGTTTGGAAGATGGGGACTGTGGGTTCTGGGGTGAGCCAGGGGATAGGCTCCTTTTCCCAGGGTCCAGTGAGGCAGTCAGTCTAGGGAAGTGAGGTCCTGGCAAGGGTGTGGTAAGAGCCTGGGTTTGAATTCCCAGCCCATGTCAGACCCTGTTTTTTAAAAACTCCCTGGCGCTGCAGGCCTGGCCAACTTGAGGCTGTTGGGTGGGGTGGGGAGACTGGGCAGGGCGTCTCTGAGAGGTCTGGAGGGGTCTGGGCAAAGGGAGAGAAGAGTGGAGGTGCCTTGCGGAACTCTGCCTCTGCCCACGTGCAGCCCAGTGACTCTGGTGGACTCTGGTGGGAGGGAGGCAGCCGGCAGGACTTGGGATGGAAGCGAGGGTTGGGCCTCCCCTGCCAGCCGCTTGGCCTGCCCCGGCTTTATTGTGAGCAGGAGTGGCCACAGTGACTCTCCACATGCTGGCCCTCCTGGGGGCTCAGTCCCTAGTACATTCCCCCCAGGCTGAGCCCCAGCTGTAGCACCGACGCTTGGCAGCAACCACACCTCAGGGGGCTCTTCTCAGGACTTGCACTGGGAGCTTCCGGGGCCTTCTGGCTTCCTGGGTGGTGGGGCCGCCATCTTCGGGGCGTCCAGGGCCTGCCTCCGGATAAGCTCAGCGTACAGCCCGCCCTTCTTCAGGAGCTCTTCATGGGTCCCAGCCTGGAAGACGGGAGGGAGGGGCAGATGGTTGATTCAATGTGTGCAGACTTCAGAACCCTGGAAGGGCTGAACCTCTCAGCCATTGGGCCCATGGTCACTAAGACAGTGCCCCTTCTGGGGACAGTCTCAAACCAATGCCCTCTCTGAAAGGAGCCACCATGGGCATACTGCATTGGTTAGGACCACTTCCCTACTTAGCTGAACACGATTGGAAGAACACGATTCCTGGCTGGGCGCTGTGGCTCACACCTGTAATCACAGCTCTTAGGGAGGCAGAGGCAGGAGGATAGCTTGAGCCCAGGAGTTCGAGACCTGCCTGGACAATATAGCGAGACCCCACTCTCCACAAAAAACAAACAAACAAACAAAAAACCATGATTCCCTCTGTCCCCCTTACAGAGCCCAAGGCTCTCACTCAGGACCCGAGTCCCTGCACAAGCCCCTCAGCCTCGCCTTGAACGAATGGCTGTGAGCCAATGCCACACAACCTCAGGGGTCCCGCTCCTGCCTTCCCACACAGGGTCCTGGTGCTGCTTCTCCTGCACCTCAGACCCTGGGCAGCCAGCCCTGCTCCTTGCTCCCATTACCATACTCTTTCTGAGTATGTTTCCCTTTTTTTTTTTTTGAGACAGGGTCTCATTCTGATGCCAGGCAGGAGTGCAGTGGCACTATCATCGTTCACTGCAGCCTCAGCCTCTGGGGCTCAAGTAATCCTCCTGCCTCAGCCTCCAGAGTAGCTAAGAATATAGGTGCATGAGACCACAAAGACTATTTTTTCCCTTTGGTATTTTGTAGAGACAGGGTCCTACTACGCTGCCCAGGCTGGCCTTGAGAGATCCTTCTGCCTCAGCCTCTCAAAGTGCTGGGATTACAGGCACCTGCCCAATACTTTTCCTTTTGATCCTGGGAGCTGATGATGCACTTATGTTATCCCAGAGGACAGAGGAAGAAACTGAGGGCCTGAAGGCCAGGGCTTGGCTGATGCAGGAACTCCTGACTCCACATGGGATGCTGCTTCCAGAGCAGCCCCCAAGGCCCTAGGGCAGGCCACCCTTCATATAACTCATGGCAGCATCGTGCCACTGTCCGTGATGAAGTTATCCTTGACCCACTGATCCACACCACTTGGCCGACTAACCTCCCAGACGCAGCCATCGGCCATGACGATGATGCGGTGGGCCCCACGGACGGTGCTGAGCCGGTGAGCTATGACCAGCACCGTGCGGCCTGCACTGGCCCGGTCCAGGGCCTCCTGCACAACCCGCTCAGACTCCGCATCCAGTGCGCTGGTGGCTTCGTCCAGTATCAGTACTGTGGGCTGCTTGATGAGGGCTCGGGCGATGGCCAGGCGCTGCTTCTGGCCCCCAGACAGGGTAGTGCCCCTCTCACCTGGGAAGGGATGGGCAGGGCAGGTGCCTGAAGCTGTGCACTTGAGGGTGGCCAACAAAGGGGCACCGGGTCCTTCCCGAACTCCCATTAAGATCCTTGGAGTGCCCTTCATAGCACCATGCACGTTCCTCCTGCCTCCGACCGCCACCCCAAACTGTACAATCTCCTCCCACCTCTGACCTCCCCCACCCCACACTGTGCACCCTCCTCCTGCCTCTCACCCCCACCCTGAGCTGTGCCTGCAGCTCCCACCACCTTCCCGGCCTCCTGGGTCTCTGCGGCTGTGGGGAACATCTAGCACTCAAACATGGGCTCTGGGGTCCAGTGACTCCAGGGAGGTGGGATTCAAAGCCCACAGAGGACAGCACGAGTGGCAGCCTGGAAGCCAAAAAGGATCTCAAGGTGACAGCAGGTGACAGGTCGGTAAGGGCATAGCCCCAAGAAGGCCCACATGAGCAGGAAGTACTAAGATCAGAGAGACAAGGAAAGAGCCACCCAAGAGAGATGTGGGAGAGCACCCAGTGAGGACAGCTGGTATCTGGACAGTGGATGAACACGGCTGGGGGAACAATTGAGACCACGAGGCTGGGCTGGGGACAGTGACCTCACAGCTCAGAACACTGGACCCAGTCGGACTGACCAGAGTTGAGAAGCCCCAGTATCTCTGCATCCTGAGAAGTGCTTAAACACTGCAACAGAGCCAAGACCCTGGCCGAGACACAGGCCCCAAAGGTTGGAAAGAGAAGACCTGGGAGCTCTGCATGTCAACTGCTGCCCTGCAGTGCCAGGCTGTGTGCCTAGTTCAGCCCTGCGGTGCCAGCTGCGCGCCCCTAGTTCAGCCCTGCCTTGCCAGCTGCACGCCCCAGGTCAGCCCTGCCGTGCCAGCTGCGCGCCCCTCGTTCAGCCCTGCCGTGCCAGCTGTGCGCCCCTAGTTCAGCCCTGCCTTGCCAGCTGCGCGCCCCAGGTCAGCCCTGCCGTGCCAGCTGCGCGCCCCTCGTTCAGCCCTGCCGTGCCAGCTGTGCGCCCCTAGGTCAGCCCTCAGTGCCAGCTGCGCGCCCCAGGTCAGCCCTGCCGTGCCAGCTGCGCGCCCATAGTCCAGCCTTGCAGTGCCAGCTGCGCGCCCGTAGTCCAGCCCTCAGTGCCAGCTGCGCGCCCCCAGGTCAGCCCTGCAGTGCCAGCTGCGCGCCCCCAGTTCAGCCCTGCCGTGCCAGCTGCGTGCCCCCAGGTCAGCCCTGCCGTGCCAGCTGCGTGCCCATAGTTCAGCCCTGCAGTGCCAGCTGCGTGCCCATAGTTAAGCCCTCAGTGCCAGCTGCGTGCCCCTAGGTCAGCCCTGCAGTGCCAGCTGCGTGCCCCTAGTTCAGCCCTCAGTGCCAGCTGCATGCCCGTAGTTCAGCCCTGCAGTGCCAGCTGCATGCCCCTAGTTGAGCCTTCAGTGCCAGCTGTGTGCCCCTAGTTCAGCCCTGCCGTGCCAGCTGCGTGCCCATAGTTCAGCCCTGCAGTGCCAGCTGCGTGCCCCTAGTTAAGCCCTCAGTGCCAGCTGTGACCCTAGTTCAGCCCTGCAGTGCCAGCTGTGTGCCCCTAGTTCAGCCCTGCCGTGCCAGCTGCGTGCCCCTATGTCAGCCCTGCAGTGCCAGCTGCGTGTCCTTAGTTGAGCCCTCAGTGCCAGCTGCGTGCCCCTAGTTCAGCCCTCAGTGCCAGCTGCGTGCCCCTAGTTCAGCCCTGCAGTGCCAGCTGCATGCCCCTAGTTGAGCCTTCAGTGCCAGCTGCGTGCCCCTAGTTCAGAACCACCAGAGCCCTCTGCTGGGGCCCATCGAGCCACCCTGATTAGAACGAGGAGAACCGCCTTTAGAGAAGAAAAGCACAAGAAGGCAACGGGAGCCGGAGCGGGGTCGGACAGTGGAGAGGAGGCGGCCCTCTGGGTCTTCTGTTAGGCAACAGGGGCTGAAGGGGGATGAGCAGTGGAGAGGAGGCGGCCCTCTGGGTCTTCTGTTAGGCAACAGGGGCTGAAGGGGGATGAGCAGTGGAGAGGAGGTGGCCCTCTGGGTCTTCTGTTAGGCAACAGGGGCTGAAGGGGGATGAGCAGTGGAGAGGAGGTGGCCCTTGTGCCTTCTGTTCTGTCTGGGGAAGTGGCGGCCCTTTAGGCTTGGTGGGGACTCCAAACACCATGCATCACTGTGTTCCTGGCCAGGGTCCCGCCATATGCCCTTGCTGCATTCTCCAGCTCCTCCTGGAGCCTGTCTTGTCTCTGTGGACTGCTTGGTCTGCTGGCTCTGAACCATATGGGCCTGGACTACCATCCCCACAGAGCATCTGTCCCCCTTGGCTGTGGCTCTGGTCTTCCCGGACACAACCATCTTTCTCCCCAACTGTCCCGGCTCCCCTCAGTCCCCCTGGGCTGCTCACTGCTCCTGCAGAATCCTGTGTCCCAGTGCCTCCCCGCCTGGCTCCCCGCAGACCTGAGCAGGGGTCCTGTCCTGGCACCCACCGACAACCGTGTTGTAGCCCTCGGGGAAGCTGGTGATGAACTCGTGGGCATTGGCCTCCCGGGCAGCTGCATACACCTCTTCATCGGAAGCTCCCGGCTTCCCAAAGCGGATGTTCTCCATGATGGTTGTCCCAAACAGGACCGGCTCCTGTGGGTGAGGGGTTATGGAGATAGAGTCCACAGAAACATTCTCTTTGCCCCAGAAACCCAAAGGGCTGCCATGTACATCGGGACAGTCCATTTTGGAGGATTAGACTAGGAGCTCTTAAAGAATCAGAAGCTCAGAGTCAGAGGTGAAGTGAGGATGCAGAGCGGCCCCTAGAAAGGAAGGACAGGTCGACCTCCTACCAAGGGCCCAGAACCCCTCCCCAGGAGTGGGACCGGGGGGTGCTGGCAGAGCAGGCGCTGGGGTTGGGGGCCTGCATTTGCCTTTCTCCGGCACAGGCACTCTCCCTGGCGGGATGGCAGGCCACCCTCTTCATTCACAGCCCTCAAAGGGGAGGGTGGATCCCCGCTGGGCAGGGCCACCTCAAGCAGAGGGAGAATGGCTGCAGGCCCAGCAACCCCACCACAGGCTCCCCTAGACCTGGATGCTATGGGATTTGCAGAGAATCCCAGGGGTGCCCCATCTGCGTAGACTGCTGTAAACTGGGACAAAGCATCCCTGCTCTGGGAGACCAGGCAGAGCTGTGGCTGCTCCTGGGAAGGGATGACTTGCCCAGACGACAGCCGGGTATATGTGGAGAAAGCCAGAGGTCTCCCGAGAGCAGCAGGGATGGTGAGGGTGGGATGGAAAGAAAAGGTACCTGAGGACAAGAGGGGCAGAGCCCAGAGGGGGATGGGCAGTGGGACTGAGGGCCACGCACCTGGCTGATGAAGCCAATGACCTGGCCCCGGAGCCAGGAGGGGTCAAGGGTGCGAAGGTCCCGCCCATCCAGCATCACCACGCCTGCCGTGGGGTCGTAGAAGCGCTCCAGCAGGGAAGCCACGGTGGTCTTTCCTGGAGAATTGGGGCGACAGAGGGAGGTGGTGGTCTTTCCTGCGGAAGCAGGGTAAGAGGGAGGGAGGCCAGGGGTTCTGGGGATTGTCCCAGGAAAGGGCCCTGTGGCAGTGGAGGAAGGGACACCACTAGGGTGCAGGGCTCACTGCTCCCAACCTTGATCTGAGTGGCTGCCAGAGGAAGAGCCAGAGGATGAAGAGAAGGCTTCCCTTACCTCCCCCAGACTGGCCCACGAGGGCCACGATCTTGCCAGGGGGCAGCGTCAGGGTGAAGTCTTTCAGCACCTCGAAGCCGGGGCGGCAGGGGTAGCTGGGAGGAGCCAAGAGACCCCCAGTCAGACCAGCCTCCCAGCCCTTGTTGTCCCAGTCCCTCCTAAGTCTCCCTGCAGCCCTCTGAGAGGGCCTGTTTATGGGGGGCATTAAGCCAGACCTCGACCCCCGTGCCTGCTCACCCACGCTGACCTGAAGCAGACGTTGTGAAATGTGACGGTGCCACGCAGGTGCTCTTTGGGGATGCAGCAGCCCCCAGACAGCGGGATGCAGGGGCTCAGGGCCATGTACTCAAAGACCCGGGCGCCTGCGCTCAGCCCCCGGACCACCTGTGGGAGGGGATCCAAAGTCCACAGAGAGGCAGGAGTAGGGGTGACGACGGCATCTCCAGGGAGTGGCTGTGGCTCTGGGCTGGGGCCCCCCAGCTATCCGCCCACCCACACCCAGTCAACAGGCAGCTCCCACAGCGGTACACACATGGTGGAGTTCACAACCCAGGCCTCCACCCTACTGGCCACTCACCTGACCAAACAGGATGGAGAGGTTGGCCATGGACCTGGCAGGAGGAGAGAAGGTTGGAATTGATGGAATAAGATGAGCCAGAGGGAAGGGGAAGGAAGCCTGTGGGGTTAAATGCAGGGACCGCTCCTGCAATTTGGGGGCATGGAGCCCTGGGACGTGGTGACACCAGATGGCTGAGCCTTGGCTCCCTCCCTGGCCCCCTCCTTGGCCGGGTAAGGATGACAGCTGTCCCTCAGCCCAGCCCAGGCCCCCGGGAGGGGGTGCTCCAGGAGGAAATGGAAGTGAAGGCACAGGCCTCTGTGGTGTCCTCTACCTCCCTGACTTGTGGTCTGCGGGGGGAGGCCTGTGCACACATGCAGGATGACATCAGCAACAAGGAAGGGAGCCTAGCTGACCCATGACCTCCCTGCGGCCCTGAGGATGCAGATGCCGCTGCCATAAACAGAGATCAAGGCTGCGTAGCTCACGAGGAGAGAGCAGATCTAATGCGGCAGACTCCTGGGGGAGCAATGACTTTGGCTGAAATTTAGGTGGGAGAAGTGATGTTAAATCTTTTTGGAGAAAGAAGAAAACAGAGACTCTGGGCCACAGGGGAACTCTGGGGAGACCCCCCAACAAAATTCCCTGAAAAAATCTTTTCTTGTGGGCTTGCCCTGCAGGTGAGTATCCCCACGGTGAGTATTATCTGTCTAGACAGTGGGTGGCCTCCTGCGTCCAGGCAGGGCTGGGGTAGGGTTGGCTGGCTGCCAGGAGGCTGGGGAAGGTGAATCAACTGCTTCTTGGTCACTGGTCCCTGACTGGCCTGGCTGACCTGTGACAGTGTGTCTTCTGCTGTCTATGCCTGGTCCACTCCTTAAAAAGAGGAAAGACTGACTCCCCAGCAATCCTTGAGCTGCAAGACTCACTTCTTCCAGCACTGGGGTGGGGGTGAGTGGGCGGAGCCTGGAAACCCAAAGGGAAAAGGTCCCAGCAGACTCAGTGTAGTCAGCACTTGCTAAAGGCAGCAAGGAGGCAGCAGCAGGAAGCAGACAGCCCAGCCAGCTATCTGCTGATGAGGAGGGGAACATTTGCCACCAGAGATCCGGAAGACATTAAGGCCTGGCAAAGAGGGCAGGCAGAAACTGAAATTCAAAACGCACGTGACTCATTGGAGTGAGATAACCGTGTTCTCAGGGGCCAAGGGCTGCGGGCTGCAGGCTGTGGGCCTGTACCCAGGTGGGGCCTGGCCCCGATTCTAATGAGGCTGCTGGGCCCCCGTTGCTGTCTGTCCTGGTGCCTCCCCATCTCCATCAGGAGTGCTCAGGATGGGCCCACAGGTTAGGCTGCCTAAGACAGGCCAGGCCATCCTGCTCCCCTCTCTCTGCCTCCCCTCTGCTGACTCCAGTGCCGATGTCTGGGCCCTTGGCTTAGCTGGCAGGACCCAGTGGGAAACACACCAGCTCCTTTACACAACAAACCCAATTCCCTGAAGGTGGGTCAGGAAGAATCTCCACATGGGCAGGGCTAGAAGGACCCCCAAGGGAATGGGTCTAGGGCCTGTGGCTGTGGGAGCAGCCAGCGAGACAGTGCAGACTAGCCCCTAGGTGTTCTTGTGTATATCATAAAATTGCTGGATGGCCAAGCAGTAACATGGGAGGTAAGGTCAGGGTCTCAGGCCCTAAAGCAAAGTGGGGACCCCAAAGGAGGAGGGCTGGGACTGGACAGTGCAGCCACCCTCCCCACAGGGAGACTGTCCTGCCACTGCCCACCCCAGAGGGCAAAGGAGTGATTTTATTAAGAGAGCCACTGGGCTTCTTATGGTCCTCAGGACTAAAACGACTGTCTTGTCCAGAAAGGACAAGGCTGTGGTCAAGGGAAGTGGGTCAGCATGGAGCAGGGCAGGCAGTGGAAGCACCCGCATGCCCCCCCCAGCCCCATCTCTATCACAGTGAGGGCATCTGAATTCCAAAGCCACCAGGGAGCAGTTCTCTGGGCTGGAGGAGGGTGAGGCTGCCCAGGAGGCCTGAGTTCAGGACCAGAAAGGGTCTGAACATGCTCAAGATTGAGGAGCATCGAGCAGAAATGGGGCCCAGGAGGGTGTCTGTGCAGCTGCGGAAATGGGAGGAATGTCTCTGTGGAATGTCAGGTTTGGGGCCAAGAATGGGAGCCGGTCTCCACCTGCCTCCCCCTTCCCTGGACAGTAGGCCCTGCAGTGAGGGATTCTGATCCAGCGACAGACATGCAGGGTGCACCACGCAGCAGGGCAAGGACACATGCCACGGCAGAACCAGGTGGGGCCCTGGAGGAAGAGCAGGGGGCTCAGGGAGGGACAGGGCAGCAGGGGCGACGTGTGGTTGGTGGAGACAGGTCTTACAGCATATTCACTCTCCCATTATTTACCATAGCAGCTGTATGTAGAGCTGCTTCTGCTTAGCTTGGAAACAGACAGGATTGGGGAGGCCTGCCTCGGGCTGTCTAGCGAAGTCAGCCTATTGGCTCTGGACACCCCAGAGGTTCAGCTGAGTGGGTGGTTTCAGATCAATGCAAAACAATAAGCTCTAAGGGTGGGATGTGCAGGGACAGGGGTCAGCATCTCGTCCCTGAAGTGGCCGATAATGGGGAGGGGCAGCTCACAAAGCCTGTCAAGGACGGTCCATCCATGGATGGAATGTCATAGCCTGCAATGGAAGGGGATTCGGACACAGGCTGGAACATGGAGGAAGCTGAAGACACGATGCAGAGTGACAAAATGCAGTCGCAAAAGGACACGGATAGACTGACTCCACTTATAGGATGTCCCTAGAGTTGTCAAATCATAAAGACAAAGTGGACTTGTGGGTGCCAGGGGCTAGGGGAGGGCAAGCAGGGACTCGAGTTTCATGGGGACAGTCTCCGCTCTGCCAGATAAGATGTGTTCTGGAGGCCGGGTGCGGTGGCTCATGCCTGTAATCTCAGCACTTTGGGAGGCTGAGGTGGGCAGATCACGAGGTCAGGGGTTCAAGACCAGACTGGCCAACATGGTGAAATCCCATCTCTACTACAAATAGAAAACTTAGCTGGGCATGGTGGCTCATGCCTGTAATCCCAGCTACTTGGGAGGCTGAGGTGGGTGGAAGAGGTTGCAGTGAGCCGAGATCGAGCCACTGTACTCTGGCCTGGGCTACGGAGTGAGACTCCATTAAAAAAAAAAAAGTGTTCTGGAGATGGGTGGTGATAACAGCGGCACGGCAATGTGAGCGCACCAATGAGCTGCACGCTTCCACATGGTTAAAATGCTGCACTTTATGTGTACTTTACTACAGTTACAAAAATTTTTTTTAAAAAGCTTGTTAAGGAAACTTCTGGGTCCTTTGGAAGGCTGAAGATGACAAACACATGCCTGCCGCAGCACCACTGCCCCAGCCAGGAGGGCTGTTCTGGGCCCTGAGGGGCTCTCTCCCCGCTCTTTCCCAGCCCGAAGCATCCCCGGGGGGAGCTGGGCAGGCCTGGAGCTGCACGGCAGTCGGCCCCCAGAGAAGGCTGGCACCTATGTCCCCTGTCCCAGCAGGGCTCTGGAGGGTGGCATGGGGCCCTGCAGCGATGGGAATGGCCCCCACTTACCTTTGCACTGTCTGGGAGGCCACCAGGAAGGACATGAGGTCTCCCCCTGTCAGCTGCTGTCCGGCCACAAGGGAGCCCCCAATAAACAGGGTGCCCAAGACCATGCCTGCAGGAGAAGGGACGGTCAGTGAGGGGGATGAGGCTGGAGCTTGTGTGAGGGGGGACAGGCAGTGAGGGGGACGAGGCTGGGGCTTGTGTGAGGGGGGACAGGCAGTGAGGGGGATGAGGCTGAGCCTGTGTGAGGGGGGATGAGGCAGGAGCAGAGAAATCGACCCTGGGCCTGCTCTGCCACTAACTGGGAGAGTTAGGTGAGGCACATGTCTGGTCCCAGCCTTGGTTTCCTCCTTGGAAGAGCAAGAAGGGTGGGCACGCCTCCACGGCCTCCTCGACGGTGGCCCTGCAGTGCTTTGCATGGAGCTCAGTAGTTCAGCTGGGACATTAGCACCCTCCCTTTACCTGCATGAGTCAGCTGCCAGCCCGAGGCAAATGCAGGCTCACAGCAGATGGAGGACGGCCCTTTGCCTGCCTTGCCTGCTCCCAGGTCCTCCCCAGACCACAAGCGCCCACCAGCCCCCGACTAGCTCACTCACAGTTGAAGGCGATGTTAGAAAGCCCTTGGAACAAGGCGATGCCCCGGCCCAGCTCCTCTGCCCGGGAGCGGCAGGCTTCCAGTTCTGCCCCGTAGCGCCTGGTGAGAGAAGCCAGTGCACTCAGGAGGCAGCTGGGCTGGCACGAGGGGTGGGCAGGGTGCGGGGGGGCATCTGCTCTGTGCTTCGCCCTCCCAGGACTCACTCCTCTTCCCGTGGCTCCATGGCGAAGGCACGCACAGTCCGAACGTTGCCCAGGGCCTCATCCGCTACGCCCATTGCCCTGGCAATCTGCAAGGAGGCCAGGAAATGGGAAGCCAGGTTGGAGACAGGGAGGAGTTCCAGGGAGTGGGAACAGAACTGGTGTGGGGAGGGTGAGGAGGATGGGCAGGAAGGCCAGTACCTGCTCCTGACACTGGCGAGACAGTTTTCGGAGGCCTGAGCCCATCAGGGTGCCCACTCCCATCAGGGCTGGTGTGGCCACCATCAGCAGCAGTGTGAGGCGTGGAGACAGCATGGACAGGGACACCAGGCAGCCTGCTACCTGGGTGCAGCTTCGAAGCCCCTAGAGTGGGAGGGAAGGCAGGAAGCTATGGCGTCCACACCATGACAGGAAGGACTTTTCCAAGGGTCAGCCAGCTGTAGCTCTGTAATCCCAAGGCCAAGGTCCCAGGTCTGGCCCCTTGGAGGCCAAGTGGCCATCCACTGGTCACAGCATGTAACCCTAACTTGGCCAGCTGGGGTGCGAGCAGCAGGCATGAAGGAGCGAGAATGTTATGAACTGCGGAGTCCTTCCCCTAGACAAACGCAGCTTGCTTCTCTTTCTGTTCTAGGAACGGAACAAAGAGAACTGCATGGGGTATACCAGTGACTGCTGAGGCTAATGTCTGGCATGATCCAGTGGCCACAGGGTCGGTGGAGGGGTAAGGGGAGGGCATCGGTGTTCAGTAGAGAGCCACTATGCATGCTCAATGCTCGTCAGCGATCCACCACTCTGGGGACAAGGCAGGCGAAGTGATTTTGCTCTTGCCAGGAGAGGCTCTTGTCTGAGTGCTTGAGGAGGCTTTCCAGGGGAGATTCGGTTTCAGAGCAGTGGAGAAGCAGCTTGTCCTGACCTTGGATGCTGCCTCCACACTTCCCTTCCGTGAACTGCTGTGGCCCCTCCCCCCACCCTCACCAGGTGGCGGGCTTCTCCAGTCAGTGTGGCCTGTCGGCCCAACATCAGGCCTGGGGCGGCCAGGACCGGCCTGGTACGTCCACGTGGGGAAGTGTGTGGGGATGTGAATGGGCGCACTGGGCCACTGACCTGGGAGATGACAAGCTTGAAGGATGACTTAAACTCCTGCACGTCAGTTGTCAGGCGGCTCACCAGCTGCCCTGTCTTATTGGCGTCAAAGAAGGCGATGTCTTGTCTGGCATGGGACATGGACCAACAAGGAGGGCAGAAGAGGGAGACGTTACTTCAGGATGAGGCCCTACCCCCAGGCCCCCATCGGGCCACCAGTCATCCCAAGTCTGCACCCTGTGGCTGGCAGTACCGGAGCAGGGAGCTGAAGAGGGCCCTCCGCATGTCCACCGCCATGCGCTCGCCGATGTGTGACAGCAGCACCAGGTAACCGAAGGTCAGCAGTCCCTGCGAAAGAGGCCAGTGCACTCAGGGATGCCACAGGCAGCTCGTCGGCGGCCCCCAGCCCCGCTCCCGGCTGTACCTGGACACCGTAGAGGATAAGCAGGTGGGTGCTGAGATTCCGGGACTCAGTCATGAAACTCCCCACGTGGTCCCTCGTGTACTTGGCCACGATCTCTACCAGCTGGCCCAAAAGCAGGGGGATCTGTACGTTCACCAGTGCCGCACCCAAGGCCAGCTGAATGGGGAGGCAGATGGGACAGGTGTTTTGAGTGGGGAGCCATTCTCCTCCCCAGCCCCAGCCAGATATTGGCCCTTCCTCTCCCACCACTGAACCCTGCTGTGTCCAGGCTGCAACTGGTCATGTGGACACATCAGTGCCTCTCAGAGGTTCAAACCTGGCTTCCAGTCCCAACGGCCCCCTGCACACCCCACCACCTGGTGTTGATGCTCCTGGCATCCCTGGACCCCTGGCCAGCCCTTGCTGCTCCCATTAACTCTTCTCTGAGAGGCAGCAAGGCAGGAATGCCATCCCTTTGCAGCTCTGGCTCAGGGCCTCTGCAAGCCCTTCCTGGGTCCTGCCCTGTCCCCAGGATGGAGAAGTGGAGAAAGCCTCACCACGACAGCTACCCCCAGGACCAGCAGGTGGGGGCGCAGAAACTGCCAGAAGAGCTTCCAGTTAAAGCGTGATCCCACGACTCGGGGTGTGGAGCTGGCAGGAAGGGCCTCTTCTGCCTCACACAGGGCCACAAGGCAGAGGCGGGGACGCTTACTCAGCAATACGGGGCCTAGCAGGGCTCCCCCAACCCAGCACCAAGCAGAGGGCCTCCATCTGGGAGCTAGCGGGGCTCGAAGGTGGGCCCAGAGCTGGGACCGCAGGTGGGCCACGGCCCGGGGGAGGGAGAAGCTGCGGGAGCCATCGGAGTACCTGTAATGAGAAAGAGGCATGGGTGGCTCGAGGCTCCGACCGTCCTCCAACTGACTAGTCCACCCTCGGAGCTCCGGCCGAGCCCTCTGGAAGCAGCACTTCCTCTTCTTTTTTTTTTTTTTGTGATGAACTCTCGCTCTTGTCCCCCAGGCTGGAGTGCAATGGTGCAATCTTGGCTCACTGCAACCTCCCAGGTTCAAGCGAATCTCCTGCCTCAGCCTCCTGAGCAGCTAGGATTACAGGCGCCCGCCACCACATTCGGCTAATTTTTGTATTTTTAGTAAAGATGGGAGTTTCACCATGTTGGCCAGGCTGGCCTCGAACTCCTGACCTGGGGCGTTCCACCCACTTGGGCCTCCCAAAGTGCTGGGATTACAGGCATGAGCCACCGTGCTCCACCTATTCTAGACGTCCTGAACTACTGTGTGCAGGTGCTCTGCTCAGGGGTATGGAGAGGACGGAGATGAACATGACAGCCAAAGTCACTCACAGCAGCCATGCCTGAGTGTGGGAGACTCATAGTTAACTGGGAATCACAGGCACAAGACAGCTTGAAGCCCTGCTCCTCCTCCTCCTCTTCAGAGGGAATCATGCCTTCTAGGTGAGGCCTGAGGGGAAGAGGAGGCCGGGCACAGGTGGGGGTGGGGTGTATATCGGGAAAGTTCCAGGCCCAGGGAGAGCAAGTGTGGGTTTCTGCAGTAAGAAAGGATAGGAGAGAAGTTTCAGGAATTGTATGGCTGAAGCCTGGCTGACAAGAAGAAAGAGGAGACATGAGACTTGCGGGAGAGGCAGTTTTCTTGTCTTTTTATTTTTGAGCAGAGTTTCGCTCTTGTTGCCCAGGCTGGAGTGCAATGGTGCAATCTCAGCCCACTGCAACCTCTGGGAGAGGCAGTTTTCTAGTTCTTATCAAGCACCTGGACTTAAGAGAGCAATAAGGACCATGGTGATTTTTAGGCTGACATGTGACAAGATCAGGTTTGCATTGTAAAGATCAAAGCATGGCAGAGTGCAGTGGCTCATACTGTAACCCCAACACTTTGGGAGGCTGAGGTAGGTGGATCATTTGAGGCCAGGAGTTTGAGACCAACGTATTGAGACCCTGTTTCTACTAAAAATACAAAAATTAGGTGGGTGTGGTGGTACGTGCCTGTGGTCCCAGCTACTCAGGCAGGAGAACCACTTGAACCTGGGGGGTGAAGGTCGCAGCGAGCTGAGCTACAGTACTCTAGCCTCGGCAACAGAGTGAGACTCTGTCTCAAAAAAAAAAAAAAAAAAAATCATAGCAGAGGGGCGTGGTCTGGAGGCAGACAGGACTGGTTGTAGGGAACAGAAGTTATCCAGCCAGGAGAGGATGGTGAGATCTGGAAGATCCAGATGAGCTTACTGATGGGGAAGGCTGTAAAAAAGACTGGTGTGAGCTTTTCTCTTTCCCAACACGGCTTTTCGCATCCCTAGAACCTTCTAATTGCAGTTTCAGCTCATCCTTGCCTTTCTTTTAGGAAGGCCTGTGCCTCTTGCCTACACGAGGCCTTCCCCCACCCCATTCCAACTGCCGGGCTTTTCTGTCTGGTTTTCCACTGTGTTCTTGGGTATATCATAAATTTTAGATCGAGATGCTTACTCTCCTTCTGCCTTGTGTAACTGTCCAGTTTTCCCACACCATGTGTTTCTGAAAGGCAGGAAACTGTATCTTAGACAGCACTGGCAGAAGATGATAGATGTTCCACGAATGTTTATGTTTGTTGAGCGCATGCATGCCCTCGTTAGAGATGCAATCTAACCCAACTACTACAGGGTTTTGCAAATGTTTACACTAACTGTGGACTACAGCAAGAAACATCTTTTTTTTTTCTTTTTTTACCCTTTTCAGAGGTTCTCCATGAGGAAGGAAAGAAACATATCTTACATCACAGCCATGAACACAGATATGCCACTCGAAATGGAAACGCTTCACAAAACAATATTTTCTCTAATTCTTAACATGTATTCTGATATTTTCTTTCTTTCTTTCTTTTTTTTTGAGATGGAGTGCCGCTGTCGTCCAGGCTGGAGTACAAGGGCGCGATCTCGGCTCACTGCAACCTCCATTTCCCAGGTTCAAGCATTCTCCTGCCTGAGCCTCCTGAGTAGCTGGGATTACAGGCGTGCGCCACCATACCTGGGTAATTATTGTTTTTTTTAGTAGAGACGGGGTTTCACCATGTTGGCCAGACAGGTCTTGAATGCTGGACCTTGTGATTGACCCGCCTCAGCTTTCCCAAAGTGCTGGGATTACAGGCGTGAGCCACTGCACCCAGCCTTCTTTTTGAGACAGTGTCTCTCTCTGTTGCCCAAGCTGGAGAGCAGTGACAGTATCTTGGCTCACTGTAACCTCTGTTTCCTGGGTTCAAGCGATTCTCCTGCCTCAGCCTCCTGAGTAGCTGGGACTACAGGCATCATCATGCCCAGCTAATTTTTGTTACTTTAGTACAGACAGGGCTTCACCACCTTGGCTAGGCTGGTCTCGAACTCCTGACCTCAAGTGATCTGCCCACCTCGACCCCTCAAAGTGCTGGGATTATAGGCATGAGCCATAGTGCCCGACTAATTTTTGTATTTTTAGTAGAGATGGGGCTTCACCACGTTGGCCAGGCTGGTCTTGAACTCCTGAACTCAAGTGATCTGCCTGCCTTGGCTTCTCAAAGTGCTGGGATTACAGATGTGTGCGACTATGCCTGACCCATATTTACATACATATATTTATTTATTTAGAGGTGGAGTCTTGCTCTGTTGCCCTGGCTGGAGTGCAGTGGCATGATCTTGGCTCACTGCAACCTCTACCTCCTGGGTTCGAGCAATTCTCTTGCCTCAGCCTCCCAAGTAGCTGAGACTACAGGTGCGCGCAACCACACCTGGCTAATTTTTGTATTTTTAGTAGAAACAGGGTTTCACCACATTGGCCAGGCTAGTCTTGAACTCCTGACCTCAGGTAATCTGCCTGCCTTGGCCTCCCAAAGTGCTGGGATTACAGGTGTGAGCCATGGTGCCCAGCCTATGTTTACTTTTAAATGGTCCTGACCCACTAAATTCATTTCATAATCTATTGAAAAATACTAACGAATGTGTATATACTTGAATATTATTTGTTGTCTTTCCTTGGGTTTCTCTCTGGTTTAAATAACATCGACACCCTTACTCCTTCCGAAGGACTGCTTTTAAACCTTTCAACAATATACCATGGCCTTTTTCCAGCTTCTTGCATTGTCTCCAAACTAAGACTCTAAGAAAGTCTTTGTCATTGACAAGAGCTTGTAGATTACTTCCCAGCACCAAGACTTCCAGCTCCAGCTCGCCCCAGCTCTTGCCCTCCATCAGTCAGATGGCCTTTCCAAATGACACAACTCCACATCCGCCTGCCCTTGGGAATCTTCTATCTGCTTGGCCCCCAAGTTATTCACTCTAGGATTAGAAAAGACGGCCAGGAGTGGTGGCTCACGCCTGTAATCCCAGCACTTTGGGAGGCTGAGGTGGATCACCTGAGGTCAGGAATTCAAGACCAGCCGGGCAAAAATGATGAAACCCCATCTCTACTAAAAATACAAAACTTAGCCCAGTGTGGAGATGCACATCTGTAATCCCAGCTACTTGGAAGGCTAAGGCATGAGAATCCCTTGAACCCAGGAAGCAGAGATTGCAGTGAGCCGAGATTGCGCCACTGCACTCCAGCCTGAGTGCAAGAGCGAGACTGTTTCAAAAAAAAAAAAAAAAAAGGATTCAGGAATCAGTCCCTTCTCATAAAACATTTACATTCGAGTTATAGTTTCAGGGTCCTTGTTTGTTTCCCATCTGTCCCTCTCTCTCTCTGGACCAATCTGTGCAGAGTGTTTTGTCAAAAACAGACATGTACGTTATTATATTGACTCTTTCTTTCTTTTTTTTTTTTTTTAGAAGTAGCTGGAATTACAGGCGTGTGCCACCACACATAGCAAATTTTTGTAGTTTTTAGTAAATACGGGGTTTTGCCATGTTGGCCAGGCTGGTCACGAACCCCTGGCTTCCCAAACTGCTGGGATTACAGGGTTGAGCCACCGCGCCTAGCCTATTAGATTGACTCTTTATCACTGCTGAACATCTCCAACTCTTGTTCGACTCACTTTGAATCCTGGGAGCACCACTACTATTAAATGTCTCTTTACACTAATAAGAATTTTCGTCCAAATCGCCCAATCAACTCCGGGGCCAGGAAAGGCGACCCCTGGTTGGGAGTGCGGACTGGGCGTGGTCACTGACCCCAAGCGTCCCCTCTTTCTGGCTGACATGCGGATGCAGACGCAGGAGCATCCGCTGGCGCCTATACTGTCACTATAAATAATTGAAGCCAATACCCGCGGAGTGACATTCCACCCTGGCCGGCCTGGCCTACAACTCCCAGCAAGCCTCGCGCGAGCCCGCGGACTCCATCTCCCGGCGGGCCTGGAAATGACCTGCCGGCCGGTCAATGGCCCGCGCTGAGTAGGTTTTTCCCTTTTTACCTGACAGCTGAGAATGTCTGGAAGCGGAGGGGCAGTAGCGGCCTGCCTGGGACTGGGCCACCCCGAATCCCGACCCGAAATAAATGCACCAGCATGCTGGGGCGGGAAAACAGGAGTAGCCGGCAATGGCACTTTCACCCTCATCCCACTGAGGGCTCCATGTTGGCTCCCGCCCCCATCCCGACAACCCCCTCGCGCCTAGGCAGTGATTGGTGAATAGACACATCAATCTCGTTGCAAGCTGTGATCGGAGGATACGTTGTTAGCGCTCCTCCTTTCGGAACTGTGATTGGAGAGAACCGCCTACCCGCCCGTCCCCTGCTCTGGGCGGAGCCGAACAGGAAGTGGGTTTGCCTTTTACCCTGTGCGCCAGTGGGCTCGGGGTGACGTCATCAGGGTGTGCCCGGTCAGGCCCTCCACCTGGAGTATCCATGGTAACGCGTCAGCCGCCCACCTTGGGCCATTTTCCGAAGGTTCGAGGATCTTTAGATGTACCGTCGTCTCCAGGGAGTGTAGAACGCGGGCTCTGGGGTTGGAATGAACACAAGTCGACTGGGAGTTTTTTCAAAACACATACATATACCTTGCTGCCCACCCCGCTCTCCTAGGCATATCAGAACTGCTGGGACATCTGTCACGTTTACTTGGGGAAAAACTCCCCCGGTGATTCTGACACTTGCCCTACGCCTCAGCTGTTGAGAACTACTGGTATGGAGGTCCTGTAATTTATCAAGGCGCGGCCTCAGATCTCTCTGCCTCACAGATGCCTTCATCACTCGGATCAGAAAGACTTGCCTCAGGCTCCTACCGAAAAGTTTGCATCACTCTTATTTCTTCCCTGTAATTGTTTGTGTATTTGTCTTTCCACGGGGCTGCAACTTCTTGCTGGGTAGTGGCTCTGTTTCATTTATCTGTTCCCTTCCCTTCCAAATGCTTGGCAAGGAGAAGTGCCCTTTATTATAAATCGACTTTACTTGGGAGTGGTGGTAGGGAGACTGTCAATGAGAATGAATTCAGGGTTAAACTAGGTAGGACAATGTCCCAGGATTAGTTTAGGGTTGGGCAAGGGAGCTCCGGGTGTATAGGGAGGGGACCTATTGTGACGGTGGTGGAATAGCCATGATATTGAGTGACATTGGGTGAGTGAGGTGGGGGAGAGACTACACAAAACTCCACATAACCCATCTTGGCAGATATCTCAGAAAGATTATAAGAATTTGCTGGGCCCTCTGCAATGTGGGATTCTATTTTGCTACCTCTAGAAGGACAGGTCTTGTTTTCATAGCTCTGCCTCCTGCTCAGGGATAAAGGCATACAAGAGCTAAGCTACTCCTACTACAATACTCTACACAGAAGGAGAAAAATCAGGCACACCTGGACCCTAGTTTTGTGGGTGATTCCATGATTGCCTTCAGTGAACAATCTGGGAAGCACAGTGTCCATCTCTCCATTTCAGGGATACTGGCCCCAACATCAGCCCTTGGGCCTAAGCCCTAGAAACCTTGACACCTGGTGGCTGAGTCAGCATCTCAGGAATGGGCTTTAGAAGGAAACCTCATGATTCAGGTCCTCAAGAATGGCGTTGGGCAAGCCACCAGACCAGCTGCCTGGGCCTCCTCCTCATTGTTGAGGTGACAACAAGGAACTCATTTCAGCTCCTCCCTGGGTACTCAAATTATCCTTCTAAGTCCCAGACTCACAGCTGTCCTCCTTTCTGATTCAGCCAGGATGCTTTTCAGCAGGTCCCAGAAGTTGGATCCGGACTTGAGAGAATGTCAAAGTTCAAAAGGATAAGGATGGAAATGGAATGGAACTTTCAGAGAAGCCCATTTTTCTACTTTTTTTTTTTTCCAGACAGAGTCTAGCTCTGTTGTCCAGGCTGGAGTGCAGTGGTGTACTCTTGGGTTACTGCAACCTCTGCCTCCCTGGTTCAAGTGACTCTCCTGCCTCAGTCTACCAAGTAGCTGGGATTACAGGTGCCTGCCGCCATGCCCAGCTAATTTTTGTATTTTTAGCAGAGATGGGTTTTACTGTGTTGGCCAGGTTGGTCTCAAACTCCTGACCTCGTGATCCGCCCAAAATGCTGGGATTACAAGTGTGAGCCACCATGCATGGCCTCTCAGTTTTCTACTTTAAGCTCCCCAAAACGACTCTCAAATCCAAGACAGCTGCCTTTCCTGTCTTCTCCTCTTCTTAGTTTTCCCCAACTTGGCTGCAAAATCAGGCTCCCCCGCTTCCCTTCCTTAGCCCATCAGACCAATAAAACATGCAGCCTTTTCTTATTCTTTAAAAAATAATTGAGTGTTTTCTTTAGTTTTCATAGAGATGGTGTCCCCCTAAGTTGCTCAGGCTGGTCTTGATCTCCTGGCCTCAAGTGATCCTCTCACCTGAGCCTCCCAAAGTGCTGGGATTACAGGTGTGAGCCAATGTCCCTGGCCCTTTTCTTTTTCTTTCCTACTTTATTCACAAAACATTTCCCTGTTGATCACTGTAGTGAGCGTGTGGAGGGAAGCAGGGGAGGTACACTCTTAAGAAATGAAATATTTAACATCTTGGCCCTATGATTTATTGTAGAGATGGAGTCTTCTCATTCTGTTGCCTAGGCTGTTCTCCAACTCCTGGCCTCAAGCAATCCTTTTGCCTCAGCCTTCCAAAGTGCTGAGACTGATTACAAGTGTGAGGCACCATGCCCAGCTACAATCCTTTAATAGGATTTTTTTTGGGGGGGGGGCGTGAACGGGAATCTTTCCCAGGCGGGAGTGTAGTGGCTAGATCTAGCTCACTGTAACCTACACTGTCCCAGTGTAACCTGCACCAAGTCATCCTCCCACCTCAGCCTTCTGAGTAGCTAGGAACACAAGCACATACCACCACACCTGGCTCTAACACAGTTTTGCATTTTGGTTTTCTCATTTTGGCTGCTGCTCTCTTTATCTTTCATTCATTTAAGGTCTGAAGATGGAGATAATAGGAATCTCCTGTCATCTCAATGTGCTCTTCAGGCCCTGGCTCTTAAACTGATGCCCCTCTCAGGCCCTGAGGGATTTGGCCTCAGGTTGTCCTGGAAGGGGTGTGAGTGATCAGGCAGGTGACTGAGAGCTGGGACGCCTAAGGCCTGCCTGGGCTGAGTCACCTAGTATTGTTGTTGTCATAGCTCCTGTTGAAGTCCCAGCTCAGCATCACAGACCTCTGTGGAAGCAGCAACAGCTCCCATCCTTCTATCCTTTCTGGAGAAGCAGTGGCCTCATGGTGAGCCGAATGGGCTGGGGGAGGAGTAGAGGGCGGCTGGAGCAGTGGGGAGACCTGGGGCCTGGATCAGTGCCCCTCCTCCCCATGCCACTGCCACCTCCTCCTCCTCCTTCCTGCCGGGGACCTGGGGGAGGGAGGATCTCCATCTTCTCTCTGTCCCCTGCCCCTCATACAAGAAGCTCTCCCTCCTCATTTTCCCCTCTCATCCCAGGGCCCCCTTGCTCAGTGCTACAGGGGACAGGGGCTTCTCAGCCTTGCCACAGTGCCCTCCCCACCCCAGCCATCCCCCCAATAGAGGTTCAACCTGCAATGACACCTGCCTCTGCATCCCCCTCCTGGGGATCCCACTCCACCCCACCCCTGGCCTCGGTGACTGCCCCTCCCTCCCACCAGTGCCCCCAGGACTCTCCTGGGCTGCGGATAGGCCCTTTGATCCCTGAGCAGGATTATGAGCGGCTGGAGGACTGTGACCCTGAGGGGTCCCAAGACTTACCCATCCATGGGGAGGAGCAGCAACCCCTGCTTCACGTCCCTGAAGGGCTCCGGGGTATGTGTGTGGTGGGTCTGGGTGGGAGCTAGTTTGGTGGTGCCTGGGAGCTCCAGTACTTACCCCAGGCTGGGCCTCTGGCATCGGGTTGAGAACATGGAGAACTGATCACGTGCCAGGGGCTGACACTCTCCCCTCTGTGCCCAGGCTCCTGGCATCACATCCAGAACCTGGACAGTTTCTTCACCAAGATATCCTTTGTGCTAGGCCTGCAAGGAGGCGTGGGAAGGTCCCCTTAGAGCTGGCACTATTCTTGGCAGGGAGACTCCATGAGGGCGTCATGGGTGGGACATGTGTTGGGGCTGAGGGGAGGTGTCCTCAGGAGAGGCCCCTCGTGCCTCAGGCTTGTTCCTTGACATGCGGCCACATCTACAACTACCACCAGCGGAATGGCTTTGCCTGCATCCTGCTGGAGGATGTCTTCCAGCTGGGGTGAGACCCTTAGCCTGGCCATGTAACTTGGTCCCCTGGGCCCATGTGTTCCTCCTGTCATCTGCTTCCTTAATCATGCCTGCTGCTTCCATCCCATGCTTTCCCAAGCAGCCCAGGGGTTCAGCAGGGGCAGGGTTGGGGAGGATGACCCTGGGTGGCTCTGGGAGCCAGGACAGGAGCCTACCTGGCTGTCCCTTATCACTGCAGCATCCCGACACCCCCCTTCCTCCCGGCAGACAATTCATTTTCATTGTCACCTTCACAACCTTCCTCTTTCGATGTGTGGATTACAATGTTCTCTTTGCCAAGCAACCAAGCAACCGTACCAGACCTGGGTCATTCCACAGCAAAGTGACCTTGTCAGATGCCATCGTCCCCTCAGCCCAGTGTGCTGAGAGGTGAGTGACAACGTGGTGGGGCCCTGGGGGTGAAGCACGGGAAGCAGGTAGAGGAGCAGACAGGAGCCCCACTTTGTCCTGTGGTCTAGAGCAGTAGTTCTCAAAGGTTTTGGTCTCAGGACCAAAAATACACTTAATATACACTTTAAGTGTGTTAAGTGTATTTTTTTTTTTTTTTGAGACAGAGTTTTATTCTTGTTGTCCAGGCTGGAGTACAATGGTGAGGTCTTGGCTCACTGCAACCTCTACCTCCCGGATTCAAGTGATTCTCCTGCCTCAGCCTCCCCAGTAGCTGAGATTACAGGCATGCACCACCACGCCTGGCTAATTTTTGTATTTTTAGTAGAGACGGGGTTTCACCATGTTGGCTAGGTTCATCTGGAACTCCTGGCCTCAGGTGATTCACCCACCTCGGCCTCCCAAAGTGTTGGGATTACAGGCATGAGCCACTGCGCCTGGCCTATTAAGTGTATCTTAATTAAAGTGTATTAAGTGTATCTTAGTACACTTAAAATTGGTTGAGAACCCTAATGAGCTTTTGTTTATGAGAGTCTTATCTAACTACATTTACC